TATTATTTCAAAGTAAAACTTTCTCGTTTTTATATAACTTACTAGAAACTGGGTTTACGACATAATGGCTTTTGTCTGAGTTTTGATTCTATACTTCACATCATGTGTTACTGTCCATTATTGGCTAGGAGAAGAATTTAAATCTTTTGAATAATTAAATTCTCATCGACTTAAAAAATGTGTCACCCTACAAAATTAGGAACTTGGCCAAGTTTATAGACTTATGAGTTTAGTTCATTCTCATTTTAGTCGGGGTGTCAATCTTTTTAGCGCTTACTCGTACGCTGAACTTTATAACCTTGCAGGAATCAACTCCGGCCTGCGTATGAGCAACGCTAGTCGCGTAATATTACTGCGGCTATTATTTGTGCTAAAGTGGCTTTGGGGCACAAAGGTCTGCACTACAACCTATCTAAACTATATTAATTACTTAGGTGATTCAAACATGAATATTATTTTTTTACATAAATCCCTTTTCTGTTAATATTATTATTAATAACATTAAAATTAATACATTTCCATAGGTGTACATAATTTTTATAATATATATTTTTTAAAACTTCAATTGGTTTAAGCATTCATGAAATAACTTTAAATTTTTATTCCAATATATAGTATTCAATTTCGTATGAACAAAACATTTTAAAAACCCTAAAGTATTCTCTTGTCAAACCTCAATGTACGTAGCCACAAAAATCCCTCCATTACAAGGAAAATAGTTTTAAAATGTTTTGTTCATACTGAAATTGAATACATATATATTGAATAAAAATTTAAAGTTATTTTTCATGAATGCTTAAACAATTAAGTTTTTAAAAATATATATTATAAAATAATTATGTACACTATGGAATGTATTAATTTTAATGTTATTAATAATAATATTAACAGAAAAGGGGATTTATGTAAAAAAAATAAATATTCATGTTATGAATCACCTAAGTAAGTTATATAGTTTAGATAAGGTTGTAGTGCAGACCTTGTGCCCAAAGCCCACTTTAGCACAAATAATAGCCGCAGTAATATTACGGACTAGCGTTGCTCATACGCAGGCCGGAGTGATTCCTGCAAGGTTAGTAAAGTTCAGCGTACGAGTAACGCTAAAAAGATATGACACCCCGACTAAAATGAAGAATTGAACTAAACTCATAAGTCTATAAACTTCGCCAAGTTCCTAATTTTGTAGGGTGACAGATTTTTTAAGTCGATGAGAAATTAATTATTCAAAAGATTTAAATTCTTCTCCTAGCTAATAATGGACAGTAACACATGACGTGATGTATAGAATCAAAACAAAAGCCATTATGTCGTAGACCCAGTTTCAAGTAAGTTATAAAAAAACGAGAAAGTTTTACTTTGAAATAATACAACCATGTTGCTTAGCATACGCATATACTCATCCTTAAAAATGAGTATATTGATTCCTTGATTAGTTAATTCAAGTGGCATATCGGCAGATGTCTTTCCTTTGCACAGAATAAGCAATAACTTGCCGTTTTTCCATCTTATCTGTCGTAAGGAAACTGAAGAGACAAAACTAGATCTGTTCCACTGAGTTTAGGTGATTTCACGGATTTTTCGTCTTTACTGATAAACTGTCTGACAAACGGTTAAACAAGTAGTTTTCTAAGAACATTAGTCAATAGATCATAATTTAAAAGATCTTTCTGTCCGATTATTTAACAATCCAACAAATAGTTAAAAAAATAGATCCTTAAAAACGTTTATCAATATATCATATTTTATACTTTAGATTTATAATTTATCAAAATACAAGATATGAAATCCAGATTAATATACAAAAATTTGCAGATGTAAAACCAGTTTGCATATATAACTATGAGGTGGGTTTTGCATATAAACGCTTTTAATAGAAAATTTTAAGGAAAAAAAATCTTATAAGATATTTTAGATATATTTTATTTATCTTATCTAGATACTTGAGATAAGTGTGTTGATATTAGAATGGTGAAAATAACCAACTGTAAAATGATGGCAGATAATGCAAAATAATGGAAAGATATTGATAGGGAGTCATTCTTCTTTATTCCATTGCGTTCCTAGGAGAACATTGTTCCATTAATTTCACATGAACTTTTATCTCAAAATTTTGGTAAGAATAGTGACTGTTAAAGTTCTGTCGAGGAAATATCTACTCCTTCTAGCTTGGTATAGCTTGGTATTTGTATGCTAAAATCACTCTATTTGCCAATGGTTTTCTATGTGAATGTAAGTTGTAGCAATTCATGTGATTAATTATTTAACAAAGTCTAGTTCCCATTCATCTCTTATGTGAGTGTGAATACCACAAAATTGTATCATTAATAATTTATAAAACGATTTCGTAGTTAACATATAATTAATTATCTTTTCTACTACAATTTGATAAACAGTGGATATTTGTTTCGACAATTTTGTATGAACTTAAATATCCTACGTAACATCTAATCGATCATGAAATAAGAAAATGTATATCATTTAATTTAAACTTAATTAGCACAACCCTTCTTTTTTATATATATGTATAAGGTTGCAATTGAAATAACAATATCGCGATATTGTTACTTAAAGAAGTATATTATGATCTGTAGTGACTATTCCCAAATAAG